TATTTACTTCACTGGAAACATTCAGAATACAACCTACGCTAGCATCTTTTTATATATATGGCTAGACATGGTTAAACCTATTCTAATGACATGGCTAAACATTTTTGACAATCATGTCCCCTGCAGCAATGTTCATTGCTGCATCCTGGGCTCTCAGTAATGGATAAAGAATCGACTTTGCTACGCCTATATGGCTCTCATCAACGAACAATGGCCCACATCTACATAGGCCCCAACAATGGACAAAAGACCAGATTCGTTATCTCATTCAGCCTCCAACAATGAGTAAAAGGCTATGTGTTTTTGTTACATATCTTCATTACACTAGCTCCTAGCAACAGAAAAAGGGTCGGATCTCTATATATCCTATCTCACTGGCTCCTAAAAATAGACAAAGAGTCAACACAACTTGATACGACTAGCATGAGGCCGATAACAGTTGCAACTCTACTATCGGACAGGATGACTACCTCCAATGATAAAAATCCATCAAGTGGCGATCGACAATCCCTTGGTAGTCGCCTATGCATGTTGGTGAGATACCCGATGAGTAACAATAACCAAGACCACCCTTTTATGGTGTGGGTACAGCAAGAAGGGCCAACCTTTGTCAATGGTATGACACCTTGTTGTATCGGAGGCCATGGATGTGGCTAGCATCCCCCTTCCATGGAGGTAACTCCACCTCTCTCTATCACATATTCATCGTTGTGGCAGGGTCTGGCTTAGCGAGATTTACCCCTTCACGACTTGATGGATTAGTGGGAATGCTCTTCCAATTCCACATAGTTCATACTCTAGCCATGGGCAAAGTTAGCCACTATTGTCTCTCTGACTATGGGAAAGCTACTCATGGCTAACCTTACAATATTTACATGGCTGACAGCCATGCCTATCATTATTCTATCATTATCCTTTCATACAAAAGGACAAAATTATCAATCGCCGGTAATCTCAACTCATAACATATATCTTTTATGTTTTATGTGTTACTAGGTATTATCGACCAACAATGCTTGGATCGGAATAACGATATCGCAGCACATACCCATATCATTTGTTCCTTTGATTCTGGCATGATGCCAACCATGCACAGCAGTAATAGATTGGCGCTCGCCATGGCCAGCGAACATTCGTCCACACCATACCCTTTAATACATAAGGGAGTACTCTTCTTCGCTACGCATATCCATATACTTTATATTTAAATATTTGAATATGTACTCATATGTATCTTGTTGTCATCGCAGATAAATACAAGCCCATGAATCCAAACTCATGATCTACTTGGGATAAACTATGGAGGTAGTGGCTTCGTAGGCATGGATGGATGGATGCTGAACATCTGGCAAAGCAAGGCACTCACGCTAGTGAAGCTTAGCACTGGCGATGTTGCCCAACTTCGCCAGAAAAGGCTAGGTGGCGAAGATGTCGAAGTGGACTTAATTCTTGAAAAAATACCCTTTGATGCTAACCAAAGGCTTAAAATCCTGTCAAAGAGATGTTGTTCTAGTCACCATCAACAAGTGGCAATTGTATTTAATAAAATGGTAGTTGGACAAGTTCCAAGGCTTTGAAAACTGTTGAAAAGGATTGTTGTTTACTTGGGAAATCCTCCAAAATCTCGCACAAACCTTGGGAAACCTACCAAAATCCTATGTAGGTGTTGTGTTTGTCAGTTGCATTAAAATACCCTCCCAAAAGTGGAATTTTGTATGACTGGAGAAATTACCAAAAATAGTTAGTTTCCAAAGCTTTATTAGAACCAGCAAAGCTTCGCCAAAACCAACAAAGCTTTGTCAGAACCACTAGGTAATTTATAATGTCATTGCCAAAGAGCTGCCAATAGTGCCCAGAGCCACTAACAACTTGACAACTCACCCAAGCCCACCTAACAGAGCAGAAGAACAGATACCCAAAGAACTTCTAACTTTCTTCCTCACGTACTAAACTTCCATTTTCATCTAAAAAATCCTCCACCTTCAACCTCTCACCTTACACACCGAAATCACTCAGAAACCACCATTTTCTCCATCTTTTCTGCACTTCCAACACTGTAGAATAACTTCTAGACTTGCAGCACATCATGGCTAGGAGGCAGCATATTACAATTTCAACTTCTGGGTAATTTTTCTTGAGCATCAGATGATCAAGTTACAAGGTTAGCATGAACAACGGGATCAAGCATTCTACTCACAAGCCCCCTAAGTGACCATCCCTCATTCTCCCATCACCACTTTCGAGTTTATCCTTTTGGTCTTTAAAAGGAGCTATGAGAGAGGGATTGTTGTGTTTGCCATCTTCAATATGAGGGTTGCTCTTTATAGAGTAAAGATATTTACTAAAAATGATAGGGGCCACATTTATTGTTATTATTATTATGTCACAATATTTTATGTATAAGTGAGATTCTCAAGTTGCGATCTTTGATCCTCATATGTTTTCCATCTTTGATGCTATTACAACAATATACATCTTCCTCTTCCCGTCATCTTTGATAGTTGTGTAATCATTCTTGGTCCTTGAAACCCCCATCGTCCTTACCTAGCTCTCCTAGCTTGGCTGGAACATTTATATTTTCAAACTTTGCTGGAAGGTTTGTTGTTGGGTATCATCACTAGACAGAACAAGATGACTTGAAGCACATAGCCTTTCGCACATGAAATAGGTACCGCCAAAAGGATTCTCATCACTTCTTTTACAAGTGGCATCCTAGTCAGCCTCCACATTATCATTGCTGCTGACTCATCATCCTTCATCACCAGCACACCCCAACAACATGTAACTGAAAAAGCAATTGACGAACCCAAAGAACCTCAGCAACAGCATTGGCTATAGCACGATATTCAACTTCAGCACTTGACCGAGTAATAGTATTATGCTTCTTGGAAGACCAGGAAATTAAAGAATTACTATGGTGTAATGACTATTATCTTGAGATAAATTTTTTTATAAAAAAATTTATTATTATGAAATTGAGAGACTAATTGTAATGTTAAGCCCTTTGTTTCTGTTTTTGCATATTGCAATGATTGTTGGTTGTTGGGCCAATGCAACTAGTACCAATACAAAATACAAGGGATGTGCCCACTAACCCACTCTTCTCATTGATTAATCGACAGCAATATTATTCGGTGGATGGTCTCTTCTATCCTACAAATTTTCTAAGGCCCACTACATTGAAAATTCTATAAACACAACTTGATGAGGAAACAAAGAAACCTGTTCCTTCATATAATAAATAAATTATAACCAAAAAGGCCACCAGAAGTTGTAGTTTTTCTCTAGACCTATGAGTAGGTGATATGTTAGGAGTTTTGAACCTTTCAATGTTAAAGTAATGGGGGTCATCTATGTTTGATAAAGCAGGTGCCGGTGGTGATATATTAATTTGTTTAAGAACATTTCTTTACATTTCTCAACTTCATTAAACCAACAAAACCTACACTAACAAAGAAATAATTCTAGATTTATTAAAAGATATGGTAATATTACCGAGTATGATCTTCCTGGAGGTAAGTAATGTGAGTATAAGTCTGAAATCATTGATCTCAAACATCATAAAATAAGTCACAAGACTAACTATTGTTTTGGACCAAATATAACGGAAATTAAACAACCTAAGGATCAAAGGTGAAGTTTTTTTTTCTCAATTATACGATAACTACGGTAAAATTGCACCTAGCCAATCTTCAATTTTTAGATATTTACTCAATTAATCATATTATATTTTGATTATTTTATTAAAAAAATACGTGAATATCTTTTTAAAATTTTATAAATATTCTCAAAAATCTTTTATTATAAGTATTTAAAACTAATATTTAAGTTTTTTTTTTGAATATTTTTTTCATGGGACTGACTCGAATCGTTGTCCTATGGGGGAAAGAGATATGAATATTTACAAACATGGCTAGAACCACTTGACCCGAAGCGTCAGGTTCCATATTTAAGTTTTTTTTTTATTACTTTTAAATTGATTATTATTAATTTAAATATTATAGTATTTATCTTAAGATTTGGTGTTTAATCAAAGACCAAATCTTAGGATTTTACAAGTCAATGAACGCAAAGGACTGGAACCAAAGGAACATTGAAAATTTTGTGCATTTACAAGTAAGTCCAGTGTAGTCGTGGTCCCGATTTCGGGCTGCCACAGTGAGGGTCATGATGGTGCCACGTCGGGCTTTGGAATTGGAATGAAGTTTAATGCCCTCTGTACCTCAAAATTAAAATATTAAAAGGAGTAGGTAAGTGTGACCAAAAACAATTTCTACCAGTTGACGTTGAAAATTTCTACCTTGCATACCATCTCCAAGAAGTTTAACAGCAAAAATTTTTAAATAAATACGTAATCAATCAGCTATTTTGAAAAGTAGTTGAAAAATAGTTTCTTTAATAAATACTTTATATAATTTTATAATTATTAAATAATAAATTTATTTTATTTTATTAAAATTTATAATATTATATATATTTATTTCATTACATATAAAATTTATATAAAAAAAATTATGAGAAAAGATTCTCCCATATTTTGTTTTGGTTTTTCGTCCAGTATCCAAGACTTCGCCCCGACTAATCTGGATCCGACTCACGTCGCGCACCTGAAAGTGGTGGGTGAGTCTTTAGTGGGGTCTGCTGCATACACAAGGACTCGAACTCGAGACCTTACTTAAGCTGAAACAAACTGCTTATCACTTAATTCAACCCCTCATCACCGATTCTCCCATATCTTTACCCTACCAATTTTGACTGTTCTTTTCTTTTTCTTTTTCTTTTTCTTCTTTTTGAGAAATGACCAATTCTTTTCGTACCTAGTGGGCGGCTTATGTATGGAAATTTAATAAGTCATTTTTGGATGACAGCAAGGACTAGCCATTTCTACCAAAAAAAAAAAAAAGACAAGGACTAGCCAAGTCTACATTCTAGGTCATTCTAGAATACAACACAAGTCCATTGCTCCATTTTGTATAAAGATATTCCTCCATAAACGTCTTCATCCACAGCCAAGCCAAAAATATCTCCCATTTTACCTTGTAGTTCTTGGTCAATTCACAAAAATCAGACAGCCATGGCAGGCATCAAAGTTCATGGAGCGGTCTACTCAACAGCTACACAGCGTGTTTCTGCCTGCCTTTATGAGAAGGAGGTTGAGTTTGAGTTGGTTCCTGTGGACATGAGTACCGGAGCACATAAGCAGCAGCCTTTTCTTTCCCTCAACGTAAGTATGAACTAGAGATCTCTCACTTTGTTTACTACCATGTCACTGTAATTTTGTTTTCCCTTTATTTTCCCTGTTTTTTGCCCCCTTTCACTCATGAGATTTCCTTTCCCTCCTTCAAAATTTTGTCTTTCATGCTGCAGAGTTTGTTAATAGCTGATTTTTGTTGCACATATAAGAATACCGATGAAGCAGGAAAATTCTAATTTTTTTAAGAAAACAGCTTTTAGCAGAGAACCCTGAAATTGCATATTCCTCATAATTACTCTTATTGTTCTTATAATTGCAAAAGATAAGGCTTGTCTTGCATCCTACTAAGGAGTTTACATATTGTCTGACGATGTTGCCCCAAATCACTCCAATAGGGAAATCTTGAATCTCACATTTCCCTGCTGTTTGATGCAGCCATTTGGTCAACTTCCAGCCTTTGAGCATGGAGACTTGAAGCTTTTTGGTAAAGTTTTTTTGTGGGACTCCCTTTTATTACACAAAAAATGTTTTCTTGTGCTGCTAATGTTTTGTATGCTTTTAATATGCAGAATCAAGGGCAATAAACCAATATATTGTCCATGAGTTCCCTAACAAGGGGACTCAGCTGACATGTCCAGTCTCCAAGGGTTTGGGAATCCTATCAATGTGGATGGAGGTGGAAGCCCACCAGTACGATCCTGTGGCTTCAAAGCTGGCCTGGGAACTAGCTTTCAAGTCTATGTTTGGCATGACTGCAGACCTTGCAGTTGTTGAGGAAAATGAAGCTAAGCTGGCTAAAGTTCTAGATATCTATGAGACTCGTTTGTCTCAGTCAAAGTACTTGGCTGGTGAGAGCTTCAGCTTGGCTGATCTGCACCACCTCCCAGTCACACAAGTCTTGTTGGGGACACAAACCAAGAAGCTGTTCGATTCACGTCCCCATGTCTGCGCATGGATTGCTGGTATCACAGCAAGGCCAGCCTGGTGTAAGGTTCTCGCGATGCAAAAGCATTAAGGATTTGACCACAGCCTATGTAATGCTTGATGGTCATTGAGTATACATGAGTAATAGCCTCTGTTTCGATCTTTTGTGTTGTGATTTCGGTTTCTTGTCTTCAATATCGAATTTGAAGACTGTGCTTCTGTGTTTTCTATTTGAGGTGTAGTTGCCTTCAATCTTCATGTTGGAGGCACATACTTTCTGTTATATCTACTGTTTGAGTATAATGAAAACTATCTTCAGCTTTGGAATATTTCTGTTTTTCTTCATCTAGTTTCAAAATTTACAGTCCAGTTAATTAATGGGAACACATAATGTAGAGATCCTAGCACAGTTCGGTTATGATTTTATTTAAAGGAGACTTCAATTAACCCTTTTATTTTGAGCAATTCACTGATGTAAAAGGAGACTTCAATTAACCCTTTTATTTTGAGCAATTCACTGATGTAAAAGGAGGGTTCAAGGAATGTTACTCCCAAAATCATAATCCTAACTCCTACGAGATGCAAAAATGCTACCAATCAATAATGGCATAACACCGTATAGTGTAAGTATACACGGTTAGAAAGAAGTAATAATGCAGATATAGAGCTTCATTCTTTTTCTACTTTAATCAGGGTCAATGAATTTCAAAACAACATATAAAGATATATTAAAATAGGTATCGAAATGTTCGACAGTAATGTTTGTAACTTAAGGAGCATCTTTTCCCTGTGATGAGACAGAGGTTGCTGGTATACATTGAAAACTTCCTCTGATTTCCACTGGACAGCTATAAAGGAGAAGCTGCACGGTCGTCGTATAGAAAGCAAACTAACATGACACTACATTGAGTTTCTTGGTGCAATTCTTGAGCTATAGATAACCTCATCATTGCTCTTGGCTCACCTGGCAAAACAGACTCCCCGGTGAAAGGCATCAGGGACAGTACTTAAACATGCAATGGCAATGGGACAGATTAGTTGTAATGCTAATAGTTCCCAAATAATTCCCTTGGTTCATGTTCTAAAGAGCTAGAACCGAGGTCCTTCTTAAGTCCTCTGTCTTTCATCAAATCCCTCATTTTCACAACATCATCCCATCTGCCCATCTCAGCATACAAATTGGACAACACAACATAATAAGCACTATTCTCTGGCTCCAACTCCACAAGCTTCTTAGCTGCATACTCACTCAATTCCAAGTTTCCATAAGTTCTACAACAAGTCAGCAATGATCCCCACATAGATTTTGTAGGCTCAAATGGCATTTTCCTGATTAAGCTAAAAGCATCATCAAGACACCCTGCACGTCCCAACAAGTCAATCATGCATGCGTAATGTTTTGCCGCAGGCAAAAATCCATACCTCCCTTCAAGCAGTGAAGTAAATATTTTCCGACCTGTATCCACTAAACCAGAGTGACTACAAGCACAAAGCAACTCTACCAATGTCACATCATCAGGCTTAAAACCTTCTTGCACCATTCTATTAAACCACCAAACTGCCTCCTTCCCACTTTCAGCAAGAGCTAACCCATTAATCACAGCATTCCAAGTGTAAACATTTTTCTCTTTCATGCTACGGAAGACACTCAACCCTTCTTCAATCCTCCCACATTTCCCATACATATCAACCAAAGTGGTACCCAAAATCACATCCAACTCCCACCCTTTCCTCCTCAAAAAATCATGGATCCAAACTCCCATTTCAATAGCACCAAAACTTGCACAAGCAGCCAATGCATTAACCATGGTCACACGATTGGGCTCCACACCCGCATATTGCATCTGCTCAAAGGTAATCAACGCATCATCATACTTCCTAGCACTCCTATATCCCGTAATCAAAACGGTCCACGACACAACATCTCTCTCACGCATTTCATCAAACACTTGGCGACACAACCCCATTCGGCCACACGACGCATAGACACTCAACAGAGAATTCTGTACATAAATATCATCCCCATGACCCAATTTTATGACATGACCATGTACCATCTGCCCAAGATTGAGCTCATGGAAATCAGCCAGGGACTTAAACAGGAAAGGAAACGTATAGTTATTGGGCAAAATTGAGTTTTTATGCATGTGTCTGTATATAGAGAACGGAATGTCTGGGATTTTGGAATGACAAAGGGCCCTGATGACGGAGTTGCAGAAGAAGACATGCGGTTCTGGGTGGTAGGTGAGAACAAAGTGAGCATTTTTCGAGAGGCCAAGAGCAAGGCAAGACTTGATGAAGCTGTTGGCAATGGTGGGGTTAGTATGGAGGCTTTGGAGGATGAGTTGCGCTTGAATTTGGTGAATCTGAGAGGCAGAGACACAGCTGTGCAAAAAATAGAGGATTCGATTTGATATCATGGATGGCGGTGACGGCTACCTGACCGGTAGGAAAAAGCTATTTTCCCCTCTGCTTACTGAGAAAAATTAAAGGAGACCTTTTTATACATTCCTTCCCGAGCTGCACAAAGCCTCAAACTTTCCCGGTGAACAAACAAGAAAAACTATCAAAAATGAAAATGCGCATCCGGGGAATCGAACCCCGGTCAGTACCGTGGGAGGGTACTATGATACCACTACACCAGATGCGCTGCTTTGGCTCCCATTCGTGAAAGTTTTTATTAGTTCCCAATACAATAAGTAGTTTCCTTCACGTTTTGTACTTCCTTTCCAGAGGCGCAAGAGGACAAGAGCTCTTCGACTGAGACAGGTTCGTTCGTGAAGCTGTGGAAATGAGGATTGTCGGGTTAACGGGAGGAATCTCGTCCGGTAAGAGCACCGTCTCTAATCTCTTCAAGTCTCACGGCATCCCCGTGGTTGATGCCGACGTTGTTGCTCGCGTATGTTTGCTTCCTTCTCTTCCGTTTTTCTCTGCTGTTGAAGGTTCAATTATGTTACTCATAGAATTCGTTTTGCAGGATGTGTTAAAGAAGGGCACCGGCGGGTACAAAAAGGTGGTGGCGGCTTTCGGGCGGGACATTTTGCTAGGTAGTGGAGAGGTTGATCGCTCCAAGTTGGGACAGATTGTGTTCTCCGATCCCTCCAAGCGACAACTCCTTAATCGGTATCAGTCTAGGGTTTTGGTTTTGCAATGCCCTAATTTCATCAGTGCTTCTTTCATTTGATTTTTAGTTAATCTTCTGTTAGAGGATAATATTAGATTGATGAATTTCACAAGGTTTCTGGAATCATAATTACAATTTGTCTCTAATTATTCCTGATGAGATGCAAAGATTTGTTCCCTGCTCATGGCCATTCCCGAGTTAGCCTGTTCTTGGTGTCTGGTTTAGTATCAAATGGTTTTATTAGGATTGAAAGATGAAGTTTCAGATTTGTTGAGGAAACCAAATTAGGTGATTGGATTGCTATGACCATTGTTTTATTGCATTTTGCAAACTTAGTATATTGACTGTTGTTTTTGACTTCAAATATAAATGTGAACGTCTAATGCAATATAAATGTGAATGTCTTATGCAATGATGGAGTCTTGCATATAGAATTTTTGTCTGTTTTATTGACTGGAATTGAATTAAGTTCCAAATCATCACTGAGTTTCATGTATTGTCTGTATGCTAACGCCTATTAACAATAGTTTGGAAAAGAGGTTTCTAGGATTATTTTTTCTTCCAGCCCTGGAATTGATCTAACATCTTTAAATGGCATTCACCTCTTCAGAGTTGGTGCCGGCTAGTATGCTCACAAATTGATGTTGACATATCTAGCAAATCTTATTAACATCATAGGGGGACTTGAGATGATGTTGCCTTCTAATCCTTAAGTCACACTATCGTAGTTCTATCACTTGTGAGTTTAGCTTATCCAGGAAAAATTTTGAGAATAGTCTCCTTTTTATATGGAGGTAATCTGCCAGTTATGTTTACCTGAATTGCATTTGTTTGCCATGTTTCTTGGTACCAACTTATAGTGACTGACTTGTCATGGAGGCATGCTAGATCAGTTTCATTTGATTATTTTGTTCTTGTAGGCTATTGGCTCCTTATATATCCTCTGGCATCTTTTTTGAAATTCTGAAGCTTTGGGTGAAGGGGTTTAAGGTAATTGTTCTTGATATTCCTTTGTTGTTTGAGGCGAAGATGGATAAGTGGACAAATCCCATTATTGTTGTATGGGTTGATCCTGAAACACAGCTTCAGCGACTCATGTCAAGGGACAGAACAACGGAGGAGGACGCCGGAAATCGGATAAATGCTCAGATGTCTCTAGATTTGAAAAGGACCAAGGCAGACATAGTGATCGATAACACTGGGTCACTTGAGGACCTGAATGAACAGTTCCGTAAGGCATTGTTCCAGGTTACAAGGCCCTTGACATGGACTGAATTCTGGCTATCAAGACAGGGAGCTTTGTCTGCTCTTGTTTCTGTTATTCTAGGTGTTCTTGCATGCAAAAATGTTTATGGAAGGCTATAGCTTAGAAGGTTGCCCTAAACACAATCAAGGGATGTAATCATTTATTTTTCCATACTGCATGTTGACTTTTTTTTTTTTTTTTTTAAGTTTTATACATGGAAAATTAATGCCATACTTTCCTTTATGAATTTGTATTTTTATTCTGTTACCCATGCATCTTTCCCGTTAACTGGATGCGCTATTTATGGAAGAGATAACTTTATTCAAATGTCAAAATGGACCATTTGGAGATAGATAGAGAAGCATTCTGTTTAGGTTTTATGTTATCCCACTGCAAACATAATATCTATATGGTTGCAAGTCAATATGATTGAGGGATCAATGAGGCCAAGACACTGAGGGTGCTCAAAACTATATGAGGGATTGGTAAGGATATTGTCAGTCAATTTGGTTTCTCTTTTCAGGAGCATAGAGATAGCAGGTGTCTTAATGCAGTCTTCAGAGGCTCCTCATTTGGTAGAATATACTTCCAGCGGTTATACTGGAAGGATTCTTTTGGCTGTCCTATGATTCAAGAATGGATTTTACTACCTTTATTTGTTTATTTATTTTTCTCTTCTTGATCAGCATTTACTCTCTTTTAACTTAAATTAAAAGATGCCTTCAACTGCATATATTATTTTAGCATTGATTATGTTACTTCCCTTTTTCCCCTGGTAAGTATGATTGTCAGTCAATTCCATAACATGCTTGAGTATTGCTATTATGTTAATGTGCTAGGGATATGAGCTTCTATTCTCTGAGAATGCTTAATTGTTCAATGCTTTCTTTTGATGATATTCTCAGGTATTATCCATGACTTAGCCATCTCTATTAAGTTGAACAATCTTATTTTTCACATGCTTATGTATTTGCTGCCTTGTCTCAGGATACTGCTTAAATTTGTCAACTAAATCTTTAGTTTCCTAACTATAAAGTTTTTTAGGTTTGCTCTGCAATTGGAAAGTCTAAAAGTGGTTCACGATGAGTTTCCCTCAATGAATTAGTGTACCGTATTAAGATTATCGGTTCCTTAAAATTGTGTTTGATTTCTTCTTTCGAGATTTGGATGACTACTGAGACTCTTGATGAGAATTTATCAATTTTCTGTACACCACTCTAGTGCATAGGGCATAACGCAGCAGTTATTGTGAGTGCCAAGTATTGTCAGAAATATTGTAAGGGGTCACTCCAACTCTAAAAGCCTGACAAAATCATTAGCTTAAATAAAGTACGAGATAAGCAAAATTTGCTTTATCAAAGCATTATGTCCTTTATTAGAAGTTGTATACTTCTTGTTCTTATTTGGTATGCTATCACCAAATTCTACAATGATTGAAATATTCTAAGTGCCAATTTTTTATTTTTCATTTTTGATTTAGTGCCACAATTGTTCAGCAATATTTTTTCCATTTTTGTTCTGTATTCTTCCAATTTGCTTGATATGCATTATCATACCACATATGCATTTTCCCCTTATTATTCATTGGTGTTTTCCCAAAAAGCATGGCCAGTTAACTCTTGGCTGTCATTACATTTGAAAATAGAAAATGTGTTTTGTACAGAATAAGATCAAAGTTGGAAAGATTACACCCTCTGCATAATTATGTTAGCTATAGATTTTCTTAATTCTTTTTCTTTTTTGTTTTCTGGTTGAAAGGTAGTTTACGATTTCATTTGTTTCAGGTATGGATGTTGAAAGTAGGACAGGGACTGGACTCAAATGTTATGGAAATTATTAGACTCACAGTTCTGTGAAATTCTTTGCCTTTTTGTTTTTTCCTTTTTTTTTTTTCGATAAATACTTTGCCAGTTTGATATGGTAACTCTACAGGGAAAACTATTCCCTGACTCTTTCCTGTTCCTATGTGTTTTACAATTGATTCTTTGTCAAGAAAAACACGTGAATCAATAATTGATCATTCCTAGCCTGGGACAGGAGAGGTCAGGTCACCCGTTAAGCCTATATTGGAATGGCTACAAAGAGGACCCATGTTAGTGGGGGATTGGAAGGAGGACAGGTAATCCTGAAAGTTTGTTTTCCTGATGCTGCAATAAAGTCAGGATATAACTAAGAACTCAGGTTTGGCCTAACTGTTGTTATTTCTCTTTCAGTGAGAAGAGTTTCAATTTTCAATATACGAGAGCTCAATACATATATGTGACTCTTATAGAGGTTTATAGAGGTTTGAGTATCTAATCTTAAGAACATGATTAACTTCTCTTTGATCAAAAGTAATGTCTTGTGCAAGATCCATTCTTGAACTAAAAATTTAGTCAAAGCATGCATTTTTTTTTACCTAAAGAATGCAACAAAGAGTCCTCTAGAATTCAATCATTGACAAAAAAAAAATGAAAAAAAAGGAGAGGAGGAAAAAATTAATGAGAAACAACCACTTTCCGATTGCCAAATACTGTGGAAAGCTACCAGATAAGGTAGGTGAGGAGCATGGAGGATCAGGATGTTCGCTATGAATTGGATTTGCGTCTTTTCTTGTCTATGCCTTTCTAAAAGAAGTGGTTTGATTACTATATTTTTTTACGCAATGTACTAAGATTTTGTTCGTTTCTTATTATTTGTGTACTTAATTGGAGCCCAGGATCCAAAAAGATGCAGTAAAAGCAAACCCACAAACTGGCTTGGCAAAACTTTATTCTGCCATAATGGAATGCTATAGCTCACTCACCAGGACAACCAGTGAGCTTGGAGCACCTGCTACCGCAACCATTGCTGGCAACTTAGGACAAGGTAACATTTGTTTGTTTAATTAAGGTTTAGAGAAGTTCTAATTGACCCTAAATCAATACTGTTTATCTTATAATTTAGAATCTTCTAGGCTAGTGGCAGCCTCCCAGATCTTCAAAACTGAAAAGCGAAAATACAAGTGGCCAAGTGGGTCAGTTATCATTTGTTTCATGTTGAACATTGAAGTAACCATGTTTTGAAAATCAGTAACCCTGTTTACTACTAATGAAGGCTTGGTATAAGCTTTTAGAGTCGAATCTTTTATCTCAGAAATTGTTGAAGATAAATAAGTTAGCACCTATCATTAAAATAATGTAACTAGAAGTGCTTAACTTTTGTTTGGTATGCGTAGAACTGCCTTGCTTTAAGGTCTAACCTTTTATGACTCCTTTTTACTGTAAAAGATGGAATATTGACAGAAAACCAACTTAGTGGAGAACAACCAGGGTTAGACCAAGGGCCAGGTGACAAGGCCATTGTAATAAGGGTTCTTGGAAGTTGATGTAACTAGGTCACTTGACTATGCTTATGTTGAAGTATGTTGTCCTCTTGTGAGTGTAAGGAATTAGAGTCTCACATCAGTGAAAATATAAAGAAAAAGAAATGACTTAAATATATGACTCATATAACTACTAAATTAAATCTTTTGGTTACAATGTGATGTTAAAACATATAATGGATCACTCAATGTGTCACCAATGACAACATAGCCAGCATAAGGGGGAATGTTGAAGTATGTTGTTCAAATATGAAGAAAAAAATGGTTTAAATATGTCAAAACCCATATAATTATTAGACTAATCTTTTAATTATAATGTAGTGTCAAAAAATGTGTGTCCAATGTGTCCCCACCAGCTTACCTATTGGATATGATTGGTTGTGGTAAATCGGAGGTGATGTGGCATCACACCACATGCTTCTATATTGCTTTTAACTCTATTTCTTAATTTTCCTTCCCTTAAAACGCCTCCCTTACTCTTAAAGCTCCCCTTTGTACCTTCTGCACTCCACTTAGTGATCTCTATATTTCTCTGGATGGCGGCAAAACCAGCTGAAGAGACTCCTGGAGCTCTGAAATTCCAAGTGAGGAATCACTTTTCTTCTACTTTCATTTTCTTATCTACAATCTCTCCCACTTTTCTTCTTCTCTGATAACTTGATAACTAAAGGAATCTTAACTGTTTTGCAGACATGGGTCTTAAAAGTCTCTATCCATTGCGAAGGCTGCAAGAAGAAAGTTAAGAAAGTTCTCCAAGGCATCGATGGTACTAAATATGATTTTTATAAACATACTCTTTGTTTTGAATTTCTCCTGTTGGATGACGGTATTAGGGTCTCTATTCATTAGTTAACGTTGGTTGATTCTCCTGATCATTAATTGTTTAGGTGTTTATATGACGGAGATTGATTCTCAACAGCACAAGGTTATAGTGAATGGCAACGTGGGTGCTGAAACTCTCATCAAGAAGCTGATGAGATCTGGGAAACATGCTGAGCTCTGGCCAGAAAAGGCTGAGAAGGAGGAAAAGCCTGGAAAATCAAAGAACAATGAGAAACAGAAGGAACCTAAAGATAGTGAAGACGAAGTTCGTGATGGTGGTGATAAGAAGTTGGCCAAGCAACCAGAGCAGGAAGCTAAAAATGGTGGCAATCAGCCTCCGGAAGTGGACAATAAAGGCAGTCATGAAAGTGAGGAAACTGGTGGAGAAAATGGCGGCAACCAAAATGGAGTGAAAAAGAAGAAAAATAAAGGGAAGAAAGGCAATTCCAGCGATGGCAATGGTGATAATAATAATCATGGTGAGATGATGCCTGCAGACCCTCCATCAGCTGTGGCTACCACTCCAGACTCAGCCCCACCTATGGCGTCCATGAATCTCAACCCTGCATTTCAGCTGCCGGCTCCATATCCGGCCATGTATCATACGCCTCCACCGTCGGGAATAAATTATAATATGGCGTATCCTAGCGCAGGCACTTCATATTTTGCTCCTTCCATCTCATGTCCACCACCTCCACTTGACCCAATCGGAAACTCCGGTGAGGATGATTACAACGAGGATGAAGTTGGCTGCGCAATTATGTGACAAAAAAGATATAAAACTTAGATTATGTTAGTGTGTTGTGTTAAGGAGATCAAGTGAGGGGGGCTTAATTTTGTATGGTCCCGTAAAATTAATTAGTGGAATCTATGGTAGTGAAGAAATAAAAGGTTGTAAGGGTTTATGAATTAGGTTGGTCTCTTTGGCTTTCCTTGGTAGGGTATGGTTGCTTTAAATTAATTGTAGGACATGAAAATCTCCCCCTTTACCCTCTTTCTTATGTGTAAGGAAAAATAACTTCACAATTGTCCTTTCTTTTTATTTCGATGAAAATAACTTTAATTATTAAAATAAATACAAAACATGAAAAATCAATTTAAATTTACTAAATTTAAAATCATTTTGAGTTTAAAAAGATTGTTTTGTGCTGTTAATAACAAAATCTCTTTTCAGTTTTAGATTGACATTAAAATAAATTGGTTTAAACTAACAACTAATTTTTTTGAAATAATTATATGAAAATGTACTTAAAAAGACTTTTTTTTATAAAGAAAAAGTACTTTAAAAAAAAAAAAACTTATAATATGTATGCTTTCAATGGAGGGAAATTAGCATGCCCCTACCTTTCAACAGAAATCCTTTGCTTTTTCTTTCTGTTTTTTAGTCTTCATGCAGGCTAGGCATTGGGGACCAGTACTTAAAGAAGTTGTTCATATAGCTTGTTCACCAAGTAGGATCCAAACAAGGTGTTAATTTGTTTGGTTTGAGACTAAATGAGTGGGAATAATTCAAAGCAGCTTTCGTGATGTACTTCTCCAGTTTGGTTTTTGCTTCAGTGATGGGAAAATGTGGTACCTTAAAACCCCTCCCCACAATCATAACTCCATAAAGAAAGGAAGAAGATCTTCTCATCCACTTCCTATCACCTTTTTATCAAGGCCAGCGACCGCCTGGAGAGAATATTCATGCTGGATATTATACTTCTTTTTCTTTTTTCAATACATGAAAGTGAATGCATGGATATATATGCTTATCCTCACAAACATATCCCTTGTTGTACAACACAAACTTACATTTGTGCATGTAAATAAGCAGACGGTATATAATTATACAACATAAGATAATTTTTCTTTTTGGAATCTTTTACTTAAATTCTACTTTATTTATCTCTAAACTTGGATTTAAAAATGAGAAATGGGTTTTATATAATTTTTTTATCTCATCTTTTTGTACAATTTAACATATTATTTAAATGATTGATTCTTTTAATTCATGTGAGATTCATGACATTGAATGACATGTAAAAATTATATAAAAAAATAGTATAAAAAAATTATCCCTATAACATCACCCTTTAAAAATCCTTTAAGTGCATTTTTGGAAGGTAATAAGCATGAGAAGATTAATTAATCAAAGGAAAATACATAGTTTCCTTGGCCGGCCATAATAATTACAAAGGTTGTTGGAAATTAAAGTTGATGACATTGATAGTACACATTATCTTCATTAATTCTTCACCTAAATAGATAAATGCAGGCATAAATATCGAAAAATAATAGCTCCGGAGTATGAAATAATTAATTTTTTTATGCAATAATTATTATTTATACAACATGAGTCACATTTTTTTTTTGACGTTTTGTGATTGATTCTCATATTGTAGACATTATTATAAAAGAAAAAGGAAACATTATTATTTATACCTAGACACTGCCATAAATATTACATCAACCAACAAGAAATTATAGTCAATTAAGTCAGGCCCTGCGGAAGGAATGATAAAAACCTACCAAGGAGATTATTAGATTGGCATTGCCTAATTATTCCACCAAACTCTTATCTGTTTGTAGGTGGGATTTTTATGTGTAGAACAGAGAAAGATGGCCCACTTCTCGTTCAGGGTACCTCTATCCCTGCCATAGTAGATCATTAATGGATATCTTAACTTAGAACAAATCAACTAACCTAAAGGAAGTTATAGTCACCACTGAAAATGTGAAGGTTATTAAAAATTATATAATACTATCTTTAAAAATATTAATTTTATTTAATGTAATTAATAAAAATGACTAATAATTATAATTATCAAATACTAATTGATAAAATAATTAATATTTATTAGTTGATAAATTAAAATTAATCAAAAAACTAATATTTTCAAACATTGTTTAGAAAAATTAAAAATTAGTGATCTCAACATTTTTTTAAGTGATAACAATCACACCAAACTAAACAACATATGCAACTTTTTTATAATTCAAATAATAAATGTATTTTCGAATAGGCTTACACACGAAAATGCTCTCTTTTAGTTTTTGTTTAAAGGTTAAACCTTAAATTTGGTCCCTCAATTATTGTATAAACCTTAGATTTGATTCCTAAACTAAAAAAATCTTTGATTTGGTTCTTATTATTTATCAATTTGGTCAATTAGTCTTTCCATTAAAAAATAGCTGATGTGGTTGTCACTTAACAACAAAAAATCGTTATTTAACAATCATGTATCACATTAATAATGAGATATATTACCTATTTTTGTATAGAATGACCGACTTAGAGCCAAAATTGATAAACAAGTAAGAACCAAATTAAAAATTTTTTTAGTTTAGAAATCAAATTGATGACCTATACAATAATTAACGGACCAAATTGAGGGTTTAACATTGTTTAAATGCCATGGGAATCTTGACTTGAAAGTCCAGCCCTAAATTTACAACGCGGGTACCTAGGGCCTAAGAGGCCAGTAAATGGAAATTTTGAAGGCCCATTCGTAGTTTTATCGGGCTTCTGCTTGCGACTATCTATAGGATCAGATGGGCTTAAGTTGCGGCCTGATAATGTTACAATTGGATTGGGTCAACAACAAATCTCCCGTTCTTACAATATCGGAATATCTAGAACCCAATCCAATTATCCAAGTCTGTACTCTGTAGCAGCACTGTTCCTCACCTGCTCCCTCCGCCAATGGCGTCGCAATCTCATCCCGCCACCATAATCGACGGCGAAGCCGTCGCTTAGACCATCAGATCTGAAATCTCCGACGAAGTGCGCCACCTCTCCCAAATATATGGCAAGGTTAGCCTCCTTTTTCGTGTATCATACGAATTCCCTTGAACAATTCGCATCCCTCATAATGCGCTCGCAAGTTTTTTGATCCATGAACTTTGATTTTGCAAAAAAATTAACAACTTCTTCAATGAATTCGCTGCTGGATTGTCATTGTTCCAATTTCATATGTAATTGGATGATTTAAAGAGGGAACGTATTAATTAAAGTTTGGAGCTTGATCTGATTAGGTTCCTGGGTTAGCTGTAGTGATCGTCGGAACCAGGAAGGATTCTCAGAGCTATGTGAGTATGAAAAGGAAAGCATGTGCAGAAGTGGGGATTAAATCTTTTGATGTGGACCTGCTGGAGCAAGTGTCTGAAGCAGAGTTGATTAGCAAAGTTCATGAGTTAAATGCAAATCCTGATGTACATGGTTGGTTAGTTATTATGTTCATATCCTGCCAATGAAAGTTGAAAGATAATTACTTCCCATTTTTCTACAAATCCGTAATGTGTTCAGCATAAGAATACATGTTTGATTATGTTGGAAAAAAATGTGTTTAATTGTTGAGATGACTCTTGTGGGTCATGTCATCCATGCATCGAATTGAACTTTATATCATGTGTTGTTTTGTGTTTTCATGTGTTTAAATGGAGAATATGGAACTCGAAGCATATTTTAGATTTTCTTTCTTTAAAATTGAAAGGAAGGAATATGATGATTGGTGTAGGAGGCAAGAATATTATGTTAGTTTCAACAAAAGGAGACTAAAAGTTTTAGCTGCATTCTTAGCTGCTTTGTTCAGTCACCTCTACTTTTTTTTCTTGTGCATGTGATATTCGTACTTACAGGTATATTGGTTCAACTCCCATTACCTAAGCATGTAAATGAGGAGAAAGTTTTGGGTGAAATCAGCATTGAGAAAGACGTGGATGGTTTTCATCCTTTGAACATTGGCAAGCTTGCCATGAAAGGCAGGGAACCCCTTTTCCAACTTTGCACTGCCAAGGTAATAATGATTTATCTAAACTTAATTTACCTTTCTTTATGATATATGTTTTCTCTTTTTCTATGTAGCTTTATTCTTTTCCTGAAATGGTTGTCTGAATAGGGTTGTCTTGAACTTCTAACACGGAGTGGCATAAGCATAAAGCGGAAAAAGGTTGTAGTCGTGGGTCGAAGTAACATGGTTGGATTGCCTGTTTCACTGCTGCTTTTGAAAGCAGATGTTACTGTTACCGTAGTCCATTCACGTACTCCTGACCCAGAAACTCTAGTTCGCGAAGCTGATATTGTCATTGCAGCAGCAGGACAAGCAATGATGGTAAGTCTAGCTGGTCAATGGATATAATCTTCATGGCTATAAAAGTAGAGAATGTTGAGATTGTCTTCACATTTTTCATCATTGTTTTGCTCCTAAACTTTGGTTATGCTGAGTAAGGTAGTTGACAGAAATCTAATATTAATTATTAGTGACATGGTAAAAAGATCCTATTCTTTGACATTCATTCTAAGCTTGTTCAATGTATTAAAATCATTGAAAAGAAAAAGCGTGAAAAATATATGATAAAGTCCTTGCTTCTATAATTGATTTAATGAATTTGCCTAGAATGAAGCTGCTTCGGTTGCTAAAGTGCAGTGTACAGTAAGTTTATTTCTACATTTATCTATTTGGCTTCCAGATCAAGGGCAGCTGGACAAAACCTGGTCCTGCCGTCATTGATGTCGGCACAAACGCTGTTGATGATCCAAGTAAGAAATCCGGATATAGGTTAGTAGGAGATGTAGATTTCCAAGAAGCTTGTAAGGTGGCTGGATGGATAACTACAGTTCCGGGTGGTGTTGGTCCAATGACTGTTGCAATGCTACTCAAGAACACCTTGGATATATGGTGCAAAGCGTGTGATCGAGCGTTGAGACCTTATCTTCAGACAAAATATCCTGCTCCATCCGATTTATCATGCATGGCTTTGCCGCAAAACATTGTATTGCGAGTTTGGCAATGTCATTGTCCCTGCAATCCAAATGCTTGTATTTTATTTTTGCTGGAAAATTTGAAACACACTGATGCATTTCATTTGCTCTCTAATACAGCAGGATTTTGATTTTTTCCATCGCGGTTCGATATTAAATTAGTTGCCCGGATAAGGAAAATATGTTGATTATAATGCCTAGGACGATCCTTAACCTTATGTTTGGGTTGAGAAAAATAGAGAGAAGGGAAAGGAGGGGAATTATAATCTTCCATTCCTCTCCATTTCCCTTCCCTCCCTTCTCTTTTTCATATTTGGATAAATAACCAAATTAAAACAAAAAATAAAGAAAA